CCCTCTGGCACGGTCGTATCATCATTTTGGTTAGATCAATATTCAAATAATAATAATTACATTATTATATGATTACATTATTATAACTGAAACTGCTATCCACACCTGTGAGGTGCATGATCGTTTTTCCTGCACGATCTGTTGATTTCTCTGGTATAAATACTTGTGTGTATGTGTGTGTGTGTGTGTGTATTTTTGGTTTTCCATATACTCAACACTAATTCAACTCTAAGTTTGCCCTCGGTTTGTAAGTCCCCTGGTACATTCAGGCACTTGAGGCCGCCTCTCACTTGCACCCAAGGCAGCCTCTCCTGGTGCCTTCCAGCTTACTCCAGTCAGAAGCCTGCTGCTCGTGGGCCGATACTTTTCAACTCACTTTTTTGCTTAACAGCTTTCTTAAGCTATAATGCACATAACATACACCTTACCCTTTGATAGTACATAATTTGAGTTTTTTTTTTGAGACGGATTTTGCTATTGTTGCTTGGGCTAGAGTACAATGGTGGGATCTCTGCTCACCGCAACCTCTGCCTCGCAGTTTCAGGTGATTCTTGTGCCTCAGACTCCCGAGTAGCTGGGATTACAGGCGCGTGCTACCATGCCTGGCTAATTTTTGTGTCTTTAGTAGAAACGGGGTTTCACCATGTTAGCCAGGCTGGTCTCAAACGTTTGACCTCAGGTGATCCACCCACCTTGCCTCCGAAAGTGCTGGGATTACAGGTGCAAGTCAGCATGTCCGTCCCTCAGTGGTTTCTGTATTGTGCAACCATTGCCACTCTGTAATTCCAGAACATTTTTATCATGCTCCAAAGAAACCCCTTACCCTTTAGCAGTCAGTCTTCATTCCTCCTTCCCCCAGACCCTGGCAACCAAGACCTTCTCTGGACATTTCATGTATGTGGGATTGGATAACCTGTGGCTTTTCAGATCTGGCTTCTTTCCACTGTCTTAATGCGTTGCTGGTCTGTTCCGGTTGCAGCATGAATCTGTTCTCCATCCTTCCCATGGCTGAATAGGACTTCCTTGCGCGGCGAGACCACATGTTGTTCACTTATCAGGTGATAGCCATTTGGGTTGTGTCTGCCTTTTGGTTATTATGAAAAATTCCCTGGCTCACTTTTGTATGGGATCCCCTATATCTTGGTATGTAGGTATTATGATTCCTAGATTTCTTCCCTTCTTTAGGTACAAGGTAGAGTTTCTGCAAGGTCACATGTCTGAAAATGCCTTCATCCTGCCTCTCTCATGTCTTGCCTCAGTATATCATTTAAGGCTGGAAGTAATTTTTCTTTAGGACGTTGAAGATATTTCGTCATTGTTTTCTAGCTTTCTGTATTGCTGTTGAGAAATCCTATGCCATTTCTAGTTTTTATCCTTTGTGAAAATTATTTGTCCATTTCAAAAGTTTGTAGCCTTTCTTCTCTGTCCCCTGTATTCTGAAGTCCGCGAGTGTGACTTGCTTTTCTCTATTTTGCTGGACATTCATTGAACTCTTCCATCCTGTCCCTCGTATCTGTTGGCTCTGGGACGTTCTTCAATTATTTGTTTGATTTCCTCCTCTCTGTGGTATCTTTTTCTCCTTGCTTGATCTCTTCGAATTTGGACCTACAGTTCTCCCTTCTCCCTACCTTTTTTTTTTTTTTTTTTTTTGAGACAGGGTCTTGCTCTGTGGCCCAGGATGGTGTGCTCTGACACCATCTCAGGTCCCTGCAACCTCGGCCTCCCAGGCTCAAGCAGTCCTTCTTACAGAGTGGCTGGGACTACAGGTGTGCAGCACCACACTGCACTAATTTTTGTATTTTTTGCAGAGACGGGGCTTCACCATGTTGACTGGGCTGCTTTGCCTCTATTTTCTGGAAATTTTGCCACCCTTTCCCTTACAGTCACTGTTCTATTTCTGCTGTCATAGTTTCACTCTGTGAAAGGGCTTTCGTGTGCTTTGTGTTCTTCTTTTTCTTCTTTTTAAATGTCTCCCTATTCTTAGGAGAGACTACAGCGTCTCCTCCTCTTTCTCTGGAAATATTACCGACCATTTGCTTTTGAAGTGTTTTCCCTAAATAGTCCCTCTTTCCTGCAAGTTGCTTTTCTGTTTATTCCTGTCTCAGTCTTTCATCTTAGGTGCTTTTCTCAAATGGGAGGTGATTTAGAGATATCTATTCAGGTGTTGGAGTGGGGTTAGAAATTGTTTTGAAGCGCTATGAGCATTGACTTTGGGCATCTTGGGGTGATCTGGCTGTGCCATACCACTGGAGAACTCCCCTACTCCTGGCCTGTAAAGTTGTATGAGGTTCCTGGGAGAATGCCTTTCCATTCGCTGGCTTAGAGGCACATGCTGGCTGCCTGCTGTTCTGGGAATGAGTGGAGCTGGGGAGAGGGAAGAAGAATAGGAGAAACTGAGAAGTTCGGTGTGTGTGACTTTGATCTCTCTGTTTCCAATGGGACACCGCAACCTCAAATGAGTCCAGACCTACTGTGTTTTCTTCAGAGACTAAACACATGTATTCTGCTAATCGCTTCTTAAACAGACTTTTGAAACCTTTCCTTTACTTTCTAGTACTGTGTTCACCCTCACTTCCAGAGGCGTCTTGTGGTAACCAATCATCAGCCTTTTGTGAATCATTCTATTCTCATCAGATATTATTTTGGGGGTACCCATGCCTATTTAGGAATGAAATTTTCCCAGGTCTGTCAACTTACTTGTCAGTCATCTACCTGATTCTCAGATTCTGTCATTTTGCTGTTTTACTTCCTCTCCAATTCTTTTTTTTTTGAGCGATTTCTTTACAAAAACCTTTTTTTGATTTTATTATTTTTGACACATAATAATTGTGCAAATTGTACATATGTATGGGGTAGTATGTGATGCTATTATATATGTACACAGAATTTAATGATCAAATCAGGGTACTTACCATATTCATCATCACCTCATCGGAAACATTTTGATTGTTTTTTTTTTTTTTTTCCCAGGCTGGAGTGCAGTGACACGATCTCAGCTTGCTACAACCTCTGTCTCCCTAGTTCAAATGATTCTCCTCCTTTAGCCTCCCAAGTAGCTGGAATTACAGGCGTGTGCCACTGCATGCAGCTGATTTTTGTATTTTTAGTAGAAATGAGGGTTTTACCATGGTGGCCTGGCTTGTCTCAAACTCCTGACCTCAAGTGATCCACCCGCTTTGGCCTTCCAAAATGTTGGCTTTGCAGGTGGGTGAGTCACTACACCCGGCCTTAATTGACATTTGAATGGGATTTTGAGAGGATGTGAGTGTAAATTACTGTGTTGAGGCTCTGATCTTTAACTGGAAGTCCTTCACAGTTTTTCTTTCTGTAACTATTTGAGTTATCTGCTGTGATTGGGCCACTCCCTGTATTCATGGCCCAGGACTTAGGACTTCTTTCTGTATGTTCCCTGCTGTCACTCAGGGCCTTGTGGCTTCGCAGGCTCTAACAGTGTGGCCCGAGGAGACTTGGCTGCCAGGCTTAGTGGCTTCGGTTTTGACTCCTGGTTTTGCTCAGCCTTCCTGACTTTCACCTTCTGGCTGAAGGCTACCCCCTATCATTGGGGGAGCTAGTCTCAGATCCTTGTTGAGCCCATTACCCCCTCCATACAGCTGATAGAGCATCCAAGGAGCTTCTTGTCCGACAACACACAGGAAGCTTATCCTGCATTGTTGATGTTTGTTTTGAGGCTTGAGACTAATCCACCTTCTTAAAACACGCCATGGACCTTTTCCTTAGCCATCGGTGTAGGAGATCTTCCCTGTTCTTGTTTCCTGCTTTTCTTGGAACTATCTGGTTCTTTCCCAGTTCTTTATTTGTTCTTCTCTACAAAGCAAGCATATACACAATAATGGAAACAATTCTCAGAGCCGCCTGTGCGCGTTCTTGGTCTCACCTGGGAGCCAGTCTTTTTAACATGTCTTTGGCATTGACGTTCTATGTAGGTTTTCTAGAGCCTTTCTTGGTATCATCCTAAGTATGGTTTATAAATACGCATCCTTGGTTTTACACATACTCTGACCTCCATTAGTGCTCTGCAGCTGGCTGTGGGCAGGCACTACCTCACTGGATAACTTTTTTGTTGTCGAAAAAGAAATTTGGCAAATATAAAAGATGGAAGTGGACTAGATGCTGTAGCTCACACCTGTAATCTCAGCACTTTGGGAAGCTGAGGAGGGAGGATCACTTGAGGCCAGGAGTTCGAGACCAGTCTTGTCAACATGTTGAGACCTTGTCTCTGCAAAAACTAAAATAAACAAAACAAAAAAAGAACTAGCCTGGTACAGCACGGATATGCCTGCAGTCTCAGTGACTCAGGAGGCAGAGGCAGGAGGATTGTTTGAGCCTAGGAGTTCAAGCCTGTAGTGGGATATGATTGATTATGCCACTGTACTCCAGCCTAGGTGACAGAGGGGACTCCATCTTTCCCCCTAACCCCCGCAAAAAAAAAAAAAAAAAAACAAATAGCTGCTGTTACATCTTGCCAGTTTTCTCCTGAAACGGAAACTAGTGTCAAGGTTATTCCCTTACTCCTGTGCTTCTATCTCATGACAGTTCTTGCATTTTAAAAATACAGCTTATCGCTTTTTTTAAAGTGACAAAGTCTTAATTCTGTCACCCAGGCTGGAAAGCAGTGGCACAATCATAGTTCACGGCAGCCTTGACCTGGGCTCAAGCGATCCTCTCACCTCAGCCTCCTAAGCAGCTACAGGTGCCCACCACCCACCATGCCTGGCCTTATCACTGCTTTTATTGTACTTAGGTGAAAATGTCCCAGTGTTGAAGTAATTAGTGAGAGAGAGAGAGAGAGAGAGAGAGAGAGAGAGAGAATGTGTGTGTGTGTGTGTGTGTGTGTGTGTGTGTGTGTGTGTGTGTGTGTGTGTTTCTTCAGCGCTTTTTCAATATGAATTCACTTGAGAAAGATTTTTTTTTTTTCTCCACTGGGAGAATAATTTCTGATACTGATAAAATATTTATGACATGTCTCCCTTTCTCTAAAGTTGTGCCAAATCTTTGGAGTGTTGATGGAGAAGTTACAGTCACTGAACAGAAGCCGGGAGAAGTTGCTGAAGAACTTGCAAGCTCCTATGAAAGAAAGCTCATCGAGGTAAGGCCGGTGGAGTCTGTGCGTCTTTGTTTCTGATATTGGCTGCTTTGGAGAGTTTCCAGGATAAGCTCAGGCTGTTCTAAAGACAGGTGAGCAGAACCACCGAGCAACCCCTCAGCCCCACAAAATGAAACAAGAGAAAACCAGTATACTTTAGAAAGAGATGTAGGAGCTGATCGTTTGAAAAATGTCAGTTAGTTATTGGAAATTTCTAGCACTTAAGAAAAGGAAATAAGAGAAAACGTATATATGTAACATTAAAAATAAAACAAATGTAGCTCAGATTTGGAGATTAAAACAGGAGAGAATGTCACATGCAGCTTTGTGCTGTTAAATGTGAAAACGTGGATGAGGTGAATTATTTTCCAGAAAAACATTCATCATCAGAATTAATTGAAGATGAGGCAGACTGGTCGAAGGGACCCCCTCACCAAAAAAAAAAAAAAAAAAAGAAGAAGACCAAAACACTTGGGAGTAAAGTTGTACAAGTAACTAAAGAACTGCTTCCTTGGAAGACCGCAACTGTAGATGGTTTCATGGTGATTTCCAGGAAACTCTTCAAGGCAATACACAGAGTCCTTTGCTATTTCTCTTTCCTGAGAGGGTTTTTATACATCTGTATCTTGGTTCAGGTATGCATTACCATGATATAAAAAAAGTCCTTACAAAGATAGGGTAAAAAAGAAAACTATGAAATAGAATCATTTATGTATAAGATATACAGAAATTCTAGAAAGCTGAATCGCATATTACACGAACAGTGTACACAGAACATAGGGTTTATTTAGGATTGCAAGGATGGCTTAATATTAGGAAATTCATCTATGTAAGTCATCTCATTAGTAGCCTCAAAGAGGAAAGCCAGATGTTTATCTTGGTAGGTAATGAAAACTCATTTTATAACCTTATGGATAGTGATAGAAAATATTCGTCATAAAAGGAATAAAGGTAATTTTTGGATGTGATAAAGAGGTTTTTCAGAAACCATCAATGATTAGCATACTTGATGGGAAAGTTGAGAAGCTGTGTTTGTGATGAGGTGTGTGTACATGTTGTAATAGTCCCTTGGTGGTGGTATAAGTTATGTCTGGCTCTCTTCCTTTCTCCGCCATCATGGTGTGTGCTTTACTCCCTTTCTCGCCGTGTCTTCTCACAAGACTTTCAGGATTAAGCGATTCCTGGCCGAGAAACAAAAGCAAAATTGTCCCATTCCCCAGTGGATTTGGATGAAAACTGGTAATAAAATCAAGTACAACTCCTTTAAGGAGACATTGGAGAAGAACCAAGCTGGGTCTATAAGAAATTACGCATGAGATGGCACACATATTTACGCTGTCTGTAGGCCACAGTCATGTTACCAAATCAAGCTGAAAAATGTCACTGCTATCTGGAGAACTTTGAACAGAGTTTCCTCTCTGGATCTGTTATGAAGGCATTAGTTGGTACAACCCTCAGTGCTTCCATTATTCATGTTGGAAAAAAAAAGAAGGCTTTGGTTGGCTGGGTTCAGTAATAAGTATGTGAGACCTTTCACTTCTAAAGAATAAAAGCTATGTCTGTATGTATGTATGTATATATGTATGTACGCCTGCTAAAGATACAAATACACTTTTCGGTTCTTTCTAAATCTTCTACAGTGAGTTTTATTTTTATAATAGGGAAAACACTCACTCATTGCTGTAGAGTCATGCCTGAGCTTGGGTGGGTTTCAGAGGCCCAGGGCCCTAGAAGGGGACCCTCTAAGCTCATTGCTAGCTCAGGCTACCAATGTTACTGTCTGTTGTGTCTGGTCTCTAAGTCGACTCTAAAGAAGGAAGATGCCTTTAGAAACATCTTGCATTCTAACTCAAGTGATGGAGGACGAGATGATGGTAGTAATGCCAGGGATGTTACCGATGGAGGTGGTGGTGGAGGAGGAGATTGCGGTGAAAGGGAAGGAGGAGGTGATGGTACGAGAATTGATAGAGGAGGTGGTTGTGATGAAGCTGTTATTTGATGGAGGAGGAGGAGGAGCAGGAGGTGGGGGAGGTGTTGCTGGAGGAGGAGATGATGATAGTAATGTCAGGGGTGTTACTGATGGAGGTGGTGGAGGAGGAGGAGATCATGGTGAAAGGGAAGGAAGAGGGGTGATGGTGGTAGAAGTCATGGAGGAGGTGGTTATGATGGAGTTGTTGCTGATGGAGGAGGAGGTGGTGGAGGAGCTGTTAATGATAGAGGAGGAGGTGATGGTGACCAAGTTGATCTCAAACTTGTGAACTCCAACAGTACTCATGCCTTGGTCTCTCAGAGTGCTGGGATCACAAGTGTATGTCATCATGCCCAGTCCATCTCATTTTAGATAATAAGGTATTTGAGCACCTTAAACATGGTGATTCATCCCAGTGCAAAGGGAGTTTCTGAGCATTTTTTATGTAGGTGTCTTTGAGTGTATGTGTAGCTCACCCATCTGCAATATATGCGACACATTTGTGCTTGTTGACCTGGAATCCAGTGCCCTGGACAGCACAGAACCTAAAACTAGTGCTGTAAAGCCATCTTGTAATGGCTGGCGAGCATCTTGAGCCAAGGGTTAGGTATAAAAATTGTTCCTGACACCCTGTGATTGTTCACTTTGGAAGACAAGGAGGACAGGAGAATTCTGGCAGGTGTACGTTAATCGGGCAAGGGTACAACACTAGTAATATCACAGCCCCCGTGATATTAGCAGCAGCTGTCAGGTGCATACTGTTAGATCCAGGCCCTGTGCTGGGGCTTTTATGAAGTAAACATGTGTGCTTCTCGGAAGAGTTCCTTGAGGAGGATACTCTTGCTGTCTCCAGTTCACAGATGAAGCTTTGGGAAATTTAGTAACTTTGCCAAGAGTCCTTAGCTGCTAAGAAGCAGTATTGGATGTGGTGGCTCAAACCTATAATCCCAGCACTTCAGAGTAGGAGTTTGAGAGTAGCCTGGCCAACATGGGGAAATCATGTATACCAGCTAGAATCTGTTTCCATTCACAAAAATTAGCTGGACATGGTGGCATGTACCTGTAGTCCCAGCTACTTGAGAGGCTGAGGCAGAGAATCAGTTGAACCTGGGAGGTGGAGGTTGCAGTGAGCCAGGATCACCCCACTGTACTCCAGGCTGGGCAACAGAGTGAGACTCCATCTCAAAAAAAAAAGGATTAGATATCTAGTAAGAGCCATGGGTTCTGTAGAGGAGGCAAACTTTCCTCTGGCCCTCGATGTTAGCAGGAAGCATAGCGTGGAGAGCCTAGGGAGGCCATTGAGTAATGATGCCACCTCAGTTTGTGCACATCCACTGAGTGCCTTCTCGGTATCCAGCCCTTAGCTTATTTTCTCCTCTTTTGGTGGCTTTTCCTACCTTGGGAGCAGCAGTGTTGATGGTTGTGGGAGATGAGCCAAGGAAGTTGTGAGGTTGAAACAGAGATATCCCTGATGTGGCATTCACTTTCCTATGTGGAGTTTTTTTTTTTTTTTTTTTTTTTTTTTTTTTTTTTTTTTTTTTTTTTTCTCTTCTCTTTCTTTCTTGACTTGCAGTGACTTTGGTTGCAAAGTCATTGGTGTTTCCTCTGTGAATTGCATTAGCTTTTCCTCATGCCAAGCGTGGCCTTAAGTTACATAGATGAGTGGGACAGAGCGCCTGTGTTTAGGGACTTGTCGTCTTGTGGGTGAGGCAGATCACACCTGTTCTAATGGTCAGGACAGAGGATTGAAGTGCAGATGTAGGGTTATACTACCCACAGGCCTGGAGCCGTGTCTTCGACAGCAGTTCTGCAGAGGTTGGCACCTAACCACAGCTTCTTTAGATAATTCCTCCCCACTTCTTAGGGACTGTTAGTGATGATGCTCAGAATTTCTTCTGTAAACTTGCCCATCCTTCTTGAAATTCTAACACTTCAGTAGAGAAACAATTGTTCTCAGCAAGGTTTTCAAGATAAAAGATAATGGACACATCCAAGATAGATCTCTTCTGAGACTCTTGCTTCTGTACTTCTTTTAAGTACATTTCCTTTGGTTGGACATATCTTCAGAGATTTTCTATTCTTTTTCAGCAGCTGCCTTCACAACAGTGTGACATGTTGGTGACATTTGGACTTGGAGCCTGCATCACTTTGTTGCTGCCTTCTGCAGCCTGTTGACTTGGAAAGCACATGTATCGCATGTCAGACTGAGTTCAGATTTGCCACTTACTGCCATATGTTCCTGGACAGACCTCTTTACGTCTCTGAGCCTCACATTCTCTGTTAGTGAAACGCAGCCAGTAATACCTGCTAGTGGGTTTGTTTTGGGAATTACCCATGAAGAACCCAGAGGAGTACCTGAAGTAGAGAGGAGGTGTCTTTGTGCTTCCTCTCCCTGCTTCTGTCCTGACTTGTTTGGAGGGCTTGCCTCTCCACCATAGCTTGCTGCCTGGGTGGAACAGTGTGTCCAAGTACTTTGCCCTCTTTTAGGTTCAGGGCTGGGCACATCACCTGAGCTAGGCCAACGGGGTCTTTAACTCTGGAGTCATATAAGAATGCAGCAGTGCTTGGGAGGCCGTTTATTCAGTAGCAGTTAACAAATAAGCATTTATCCAACAGACGAATAGCAGTGATTTGGATAAAACTCTAGTTGTTTTCTATGTTGAACTTGCTAGAATTGCTCTGTTTTCAGTTCCTTGTCTTATGTTTTTTTTGAGACAGAGTCTCATTCAGTTGCCCAAGCTGGAGTGCAGTGGCACAATCTTGTCTCACTGCAAGCTCTGCCTCCTGGGTTCAAGCATTTCTCTTGCCTCAGCCTCCCAAGTAGCTGAGATTACAGATGCCCACCACCACACTTTGCTAATTTTTTTGTATTTTTAGTAGACACGGGGTTTCGCCTTGTTGGCCAGGCTGGTCTTGAACTCCTGACCTCAGGTGATCCACGTGCGTCGGCCTCCCAAAGTGATGGGATTACAGGCGTGACCCACCAATGCCTGGCCCTAGTTTCTTTTCTGAGCCCGTTTTCCCCACTTTCTTC